TTTACGCATGCGCATTTAAGATTTTTGAAAAGCAATTCAAATAAATAAAAGTAAACATGCATGGCTTGTTAAATTTTCAGATATTGTTATTGTACAGATTTGCTGAACTTCATGACGGCCAAAAAACAATTATTGAACTGATGAAACAATTATTGAACTCGGTTATCGCAAAAATAATTGATCTGCTCGCCATTGACAAATCACGATCTTTTGCTCAACCTCATCCAATAATTGTATATTCAGAAGTTTAACTTTTTATAACTTAAAAATGCGTAAACATCCTGAATTTGTGCCTCGTTATTTTACACGCCAAATATTCGTTCGCTCATGAACATATACTGCTGTTATTACACTGGCATAGACTGGCCTGTAGACCAAGTGTCTTAAATCCCTCTTTTTCTGTTTTTTCCGTACTCGAGAAATGGAGTTTGCGTTAGCTCATCGCAGGCTCACCTCGGTGTATAGTAATAAGCTCGTATTTATGTACGTAATAGTCGACTCATGCTTGTGGTACATTTTTCGTTTATTAGCCCATACACGTGTACGCACGCGCACAATTCCAAACTCCAATGGCGACTTTTCACAGAGTGATCAAACTATATTTTACACAGTTTAGTTGAATTTTCAAAGAATTGTGCCGGTTTCCTGTGGACATCCGTTGTGTACTTGTGTTAATTTTTGCGTCGCACTCTGGACTTTCTTGCCTGTTGAATTAATGTTTTTCTTTTTGTAATAAATTAAACGACTCGAAAACCCCAAAATTTCATAAATTTATACCCAGGAAATCTATACAATATATTGGAATATAAACAAGGACAAACTCTCCTAATTCCTTACGATAGTGTAAGTAAAATGTCGACAATACTGACCTTTAAATACATGTATTAAAATCCGCGCAGTACTAAGAATTAAGAGAATTCGCGTAGCGCTGGCCGCTGGGTGCCGCGCGAAAAGCTTTGTGGTAGCTATACCAACAAGAACTAGAACCATTATTGTATGGTTCTCATTTGCTAGACTTGCCACAAGTCGACCTCGTAGAAACGCATTTCGTTCGAGGTCGACTTGTGGCAACTGGCAAGTCTACTCATTTGCCTAATACAATAACATTTACTTCGACGCGAATTTTAATACAAGTATGGTATCATATTTTATAATATAACAAACAATGTAAACTTGCCATACATTTTGGCGAACATAACTTCGGCCCCTTTGGACATATCTTTTTCGTAATAATATTATTGGGACCAGAATCGAAAACACTATTTATAGTGTTATTTTCAAGCTTGTGTCTTGGGATTTTTATCTTTTATTTCGGTATTTACAGAATATTTATATTTTTTAGCGCGGCGATCAAAACAACGCGCTGTTTAGGAAAAACCGGAAATCGATTCTGTAGGTCGGCATGATTTGCACGTGCATCAATCGAGCTATAAACGTGCGTGCGAGTAAAAACCCGATATTTTGAAAAATTCAAAATAAATATTCCTACTCTGTGCCGTATTCAAACAAAACTTTGTACATGAAAGCGCTTGAATACAAGATGTATTTTACTCACATTGACTCTGAGCAAATTCTGAAGAGTTACTAGGGTGCATTGCTTGTTTATGAGTTAAGTTAACCCATGTGCTGACAGTACTCTGCCACTAACAAGTAAAATCGTCTGGCGTTACAATGTAAATTGGTCTGGCGTTAGCCAGAGTTAATACTAAATTGCATTGTCAGCTAATAGGTTAATAGACCTTAATGTCCACTTTTGACCCAATGGCTTCATTTTCATGTTGGCTATTTACTCTTATTCCGTGCACACAATTTAAGAATGAGTTTGTGAACGGGCTTAAATGATAAACGAGAGGGAAACATTGGGGATAATATAACCGAGAATTGTCTAGAAGTATAAATTTTTGCATTCAGTTCATACGCCATAAAGGCAGCACTTTCCTTGCGATAGTAACTCCTAGTAATAGATTTGCACCATTACGTCTCCCGAAAAGGTCTTTTATTTTTTTAAAAAGACCATAAAATTTGCTTGGGGTTTAAGATTTGTATTCCTGCCTTTTGCACCATAGCACGTGTCTCGTTATTTTCAGGCCAGTGTGAACGCCTGAGCAGGCGTCTTGTTAGTATAGTAGTTTGGTCATAATCGAGTTAACTTACATAATGCGTGATCTTACGTTCATATTGCATTATTGGAAACCCTGTGCCTACGCGGTAAGTGCCTATAATATGAATACACTCAGTCACAAACTACACCAGATTTTCGTGAAGCATTTAATTATTTGTAGGAAATCAGGTGAAACAGAACGAAGATGGACACCAATCATATTAAATTCTGCGAACTTTCCATCAGGTAATGTTATGTGAATCCAGAGTACATTCAACATCGGACCACGGGAACATCACGCACAAAACAAAAACTAGGCATGGGGAATTGCGGAGTAAAAGATAAACCTGGTCTTATAATCGTAGGCATATTACACTGGAAATGTTTTTCAAAATCGTTACTATGTAAATAATATGGAACTTAGTTGAAAATAGTGTGGAAATCCAATTCTCATACAAATTGCAATTTCCATACTATGGATATAGTGCCAAAATACTTTGTTAGACGTAGAGAAGCTTGTACGAAGCTCTTTGCATTTGGATTCTTTTAATCCGAGGCCATCTGTTATGGTCGTGGCTAAAGGGGATGGACTAAGTGTAGAAGCAGGCAAGCAGCTAGGTTTTCAAGACGGCCGCCAGTTTTTTAAGATCGCGATTAAAATGTAAAAGAATCAAGAACCAGTTCTTTGTATGTTTGCATGGCGATAAAACATTAATAGTTTTGTTTGTGGAAACACCACGTAATTTTATTACTGCAAGTAATAAACATAAATTAGATAAACACCACGTAAATTTATTTACTGCAGTAATAAATTTACGTGGTGTTTCCACAAACAAAACTATTATGATCAAGAACCAGTCATTTGCAACCTATGCTTGCAACAATAGTCAATACTAAATCTTTATACCCTCACCCCACTCGTAACCCCTACAATAATACTAATGCAAACTCTCAATTTTAGAACCATCTCGTAAACTACATCCAGGGCCGTATTAACCACGTGGCAGATGCGGCATATACCGCGGAGGCTTTACTGTGCCACGCCCATTTTTACGAGAACACGTCCATTTTCTATTGGAATACGCCCATTTTAGGTGCCAGTTTATCCCAGGAAAATATACAATACTCGTATGCATGTAATCTCCAGTTGCGCTGATCTGTTATATGTGATCCTGTTTATACTTGTTGACCCAACAACTGGGCCAGGCAGGCAATTGTTTATAATTGATGCCAATCAATTGAAATATTGAAAGCAATTATTTAACAATTTTGCGTGTCTTTGAATTGCAAAGGTTTTCATAACGGGGGGGGGGGGGGGGGGGGGGGGG